GTTCATACAATTAGGAACCATTCAGATCATTGATGTTGGCAAATGGTGCATGATTTTGGACACTTTGTAAATGTATCGGATTTTGAGTGCCCTGGCACTTCTCATTTTTATAACCTCCCGTTGGCCTTTTGTTGATATACTTCTGGAGGGAAAACTACTGAATAAAACAGGACAATAAGATGGTGAGGAAATTCTTGCTGTAGCCTGTAGTTCCTTGATCATTTCGTCAAGCTAGAAACTGTAAATCTCAACACAGTGACTGTAGAAGAAATGGNGAGAGAGAGAGAGAGAGGAACTTTGCGCGAGTGCGAGTGTGTGAGACATTGTCCTTGCATAAAAGTCTCTGTCAAGAACAGATGGGTGCTAAAAAAACTAGATTTCAAGTGCAAAATAAAAAGTTAATGCACCTCAATAACATATTTGGACTAGTAAACAGAGAACAAAAACCAAGGTTCGACTTGCATGTGTTAAGCTGAATCTTTAAAAAGTTTATTCAGAATAAATTTGAAACATGAGAAAATCTCTTAACAAGCAGCCAGCAGAATTATTCATCCAAAACAGTGTGCTACCAGTACTGGTCAGTAAATACAATCCATGTATAACTCAAGAAGCTAAACGCAAGATCCAATTTAGGTCCAGCAGCTACAAGTTGTCCTGCAACTTAAGACATAATTTCTCAACCAATAAGTAACTTGTTCTCCTCCATGAAACTGTAGGTAGGCACCTCCAGATTATATGGCGCAGGTCCTTTGCGAATCCTACCAGAGATGTCATAGTGGGAACCATGGCATGGGCAAAACCAACCACCAAAATCACCAGCATTTGGTAAAGGTATGCACCCTAGATGAGTGCATACCCCGATAACCACAAGCCATTCTGGATTTTTTACCCTCTCAGCATCTTGTTGCGGGTCGCGAAGGGAGCCAAGATCAACACTGTTCGCCAAATTGATGTCTTCGTCAGTGCGGCGTCTGATGAAAACAGGCTTCCCACGCCACTTGACAGTGACAGTCGTCCCAGGTTCAATGCTGGAAAGATCCACCTCAAGAGACGCAAGTGCAAGGACATCTTTACTGGCAGACATGCTCAGAACAAACTTAAGAATCAGGAGGCGAACCAATGAGGCATAAACAAACCTGCCTCCTGTCAAGACAAAGTAAGCAAATGCACGTTTGCTCGGGTCACCAGGTGGATAACGCTCATGGTTGCTATCATCATATACAATTTTCGAACTGGGATTCTTAATAGCAGCCACTGTCGCTGGCAGATCTGAGACTAAACCCGTCTGATGTGCGGGGGAAACTGAATTAGATGAGAAACCTGAAACATTTGAAATTTGTTGGAAGTTTGCTAACAACTACCAAAAGAATCTTTTTATTTTATTAACTACCCAAAGAATTGCAACTACAGTGCCAGAATGTATCAATAAGATATCCAAATAAAGCAAAGAAACCACAGCAAAACAAGAGTTTCCATGTTCATTGTCTGGTTCAGGAAAATAGTTCGGTTTTAGTTTGATTTTGATTCTCATTTTGATATCTCTTGTCTGTTTTGATTTTATTCTTTGGAAAGTAAAGTGTATGTTAAGAACTAGTTTTAGAAAAAGTGGGTTGCACGATTTACTTCACCTGATCAGAATTTAAAAAGAAAAAAAAGGGCTTTTTATGAGTTTGACAGATTGTTTACGGAAACCAGCCATTTGTTCGGTTTCCGGAAACAAACAATTGTTGTAAGTGGAAAATAGGCTACACACCAAAAGCGACATACTTTTTTTATCAGTAGGTTAAAGACAAAATCAGATCTTAATGAATTATTAACATGAACAATTTTCCGCGAAGCATATAAATGGGCAACTGATTTAAAACTCGAAGCTCCTAAAAGGCAAATTTTTTAACTCTATTTCTTTGTTACTCATTTTCCTGTCAATAGTGAGATAATGAGTGGATTGCAAACGTGGAAGAACTTAGTGTTTAATCATGCATAAAACAATTTAAGCATTATCAAGGGAGAGTTTCTATCATGCATAAAACAATGTAAGCATTTTCAAGGGAGAAAATCTCTTTCAATTTGATAAGCATAAACTGAAGGATATATTGTACTAGGGACTGTATCATAACCCCATGTCATATTAACAATCTGGAGCGTATTTTTATCCACTTGTATTAGCTTCCAGTCTATCAGCATGAATATTCCAAATTACTTAACACCAATCCATCAAGGTAGTTCTGCTTCAACTCCAATGCCAATGACAAACTTTGTGCTGCCAGCTGAAGTTGAAAGCTTGAGCTGAAACGATCTTGATGCCCTCTTTTTTCCCCACGTTTTTTGGGGTAAATAGAGAATAGAATAAATCTTCTTATGCAGGGAAAATGAAATCATCTTTTTGCTCGGGAATGTCTGACCAAGAATTTTATAGTTTTGTGAAGTTAATGTAGGGCAGCCTAGGAAAAGGTCATGATTCTTAGAATTATCGCAGAACGAAAGAGTAGGGTTTTAGATCCTTCTGTGTTAGTGTAGTATCCTTCCACCACAAAAAGCATATTGGATAAGATATAACTTATAGTCTTATACAAGTCTTCTACTAATATTAATATATAATATTCATAATATGTTATATGCATATTTCTGCAACTAATTTTATAATATTCCTACATACAAGTACAATTAGATAACTACAGCTAGAGATCTACCAAGCTGAAAAATGGAGCGACTAGAAGCTGTAATGCAGTGGCCATCGCCCCATGCATTTTCACATTTATTTTTTTTGATAACCGTGGTGTCCGGGCCAGCTTACGCTCAACTCGACTAATTCCACGAGATACCTGTAACCTCCTACCATCAATACGTACCAGATATCCACCAAGGCTTGGATTAGATGGGAAGAAATCACCTAGTGTTTTTTGCCTCCGCTGGATTTGAACCTGAGACCTCATGGTTCTCACCCACTTCATTGACCACTAGGCCACACCCTAGGGTGCCATGCATTTTCTCATTTTCAACAATATGTCCGGTTACCAGTCCTCAGTAATTCAAACCTTTGAGCAGATAAGCTAGGATTCCCTCTCACCCTAATCTACAAACACTCAACGCTAAATCCAGTCTTAGCCAATGTTATTAAAAGCCACTGTTTTGTCGCATAGAGTTATGAAACAACGTGAAGCAAGGGCTATGGCTTCATAGATGAACCCATGCATTTTAGAGAAGTTTGCTCTTCAGACAATGGTGCACAATGTGATTCCAAAGAGAATCGGTTGCTTCTCTGAATCTCAACCTTGAGAAATTGGATAAATACCGGCATTATTGCATATCGGATACCAAAATAGTTATTTTAATTGAAATTCAATTTTTATTGTACTAAATTTGTAGCTATTTAATTTCGTTTACCATAAATTATCACATCATTCAAAGAAGCCCCATGAACCTTGTCGCTTTGTAAAACTACTGTCAGCACAAACGTATTGCTTAGCTTAGTGACATCTAATAATTAGTATTAAAATGAGACCATGAGCTCTAACTGTATTCATAAGATGCTCAAAACATGAATTATGCAGAAAAGCATAAACCGTGCTCCAAGATGCAATTTTCAATCAAACAGTATATAACGAAAACCGGAAAAAAAAATCCACAGGCATCCCTCTTTTATCCCCTCACATAAGACAATTAGTTCTCAGCTACAGCTTCCGGATCTACACAACGAGCATTAAAACATCACAACAGCTTTTTTTTCAAATTCCCGATTCCCTCTACTTTAGAATTAGATCTATAATTTACATCTCCGATAATTCAGCACCAAATAAACAAACAAAAATACCGAACTTTTAACACAAAAAAAAAAAAAACTAAAAATAACATCAGCAAAGTGCAAACATGAAGATTGAGGATCAAATCAAATGATAATTCAGAAATAAAGGAGCTGACCTCTGAATTGATCGAGAAATTGAGAAGCGAGGGAAGTAGGAGAAGGGGATCTGGTCGGAGATGATGAATCATCGGTAAAGGTGAAAGGATTTCTGGTGAAGAAAGCGGATGAAGATCGAGCGGCAGCGGAGGAAGAGAGCTTTCTACCTGCTATTCGTAGCATTTTGAGAGTTGTGATTTAGGGTTTCGCTGTAACTGGATTTGGGTCTTCTCTTCTCTCTTTTCGATGATGAGATGATGATGGAGGAAATGAACGCAGAGAGAAATATGAGACTTTTTTATTCTTTTTCCTTTTTATTTTGCTGACTTCTTTGATTTTTCACAAGAGATAAACTTCTTTTTTTCTTTTTTCTTTTTCTTTCTTTTCTTGCCGAGAAAAAGGAGAAAGGATTTCTCGAAGAAATAGACCAAATTAGAGCCTAGAGGTGTTTGTACAATGAGGTTGATGTAAAATATGTGGTTCAAACTTTGTATAAAATCTAAAAAGAATAATTAAATACATTAATGTTAAATTATGAACCTAGTAACTCAAATAATCATTTGTTTATCTGGCATTCTGAACCTTAAAAAAAAAATCCGTAATCTGCACCGTAGCTCATTTGATTATGAAAAAATTATAGTCGGCTTGTTAAACATATAAGCTAAAAAAAAAAAAAAAAAAAAAAAAAAAGCATTTTATCAGTTTAAAAATCTAGCGAATTTACAATAACTATTTTTCCTTTTAATTTTTTTGAATAGACGTTCTTGCATCATTGAATAGATCACATTTTGGATTAATGTAAGAAAATATTCTAAATTTAGTGTATGTCGCTAACCACAAAGGTTTTGCAATAATATATTTAACAATATGTATAGGTTCAGTACACAAATTAACACATCTGATTTTGCATAACCAGCTCCTAACTTTGAGTTTTCCTAATAACAGACATTTGCAAGAAATATTGTAATCGAGGCATTTCTAGGATAACTAAACCTTAGATTTATTCAATCTTCCATTGTGTTATGAAATGCATTGTGTGAATGTTCATACATTGTTTCCTTTCTCCACTAAAATTTTCTTACCTCACGAAGAACACACGAAATGAGTAAAATAGTTCTACCTCTCTCCATTCTTGTCAACTCTCAACAGCAATAAATCCTGTAAATTTATTTCAGAGTACATTGATATTATAGTAGTGAGTAAGAAAATTAGTAAAATTAACCTTGGGCCAAGAGAAGTTAACCCAGTTAAATAGGTCTACAAAAATTCCTGAATTCAGGACAAGGGATAAAAATTTCTGGAAGTGATAATAATGGTATGAATGTTATCATTTGATACTACTCTTCTGCAGTTCCTCAAGAATGTAGAGTATACATCTTCAAAACATCTTCACTCCTTTGCAATGTAAGCCATCATTTAATATCACTCTTCTGCAGTTCCTGAAGAATGTAGAGGATACACCTTCAACACATCTGCCCATGTGCTCACTCCATCAGTCACTTCCCTCACAACTGATGCGACCTTATCCGTGCTCACCCGGACCTGATCTTTGCTATCCCTCTCTCGCACTGTAACTGATGATGTCGAATCGACAGTGATGGCAAAGGGAACACCAAGTTCATCTGTTCTTGCATACCTTTTCCCTATAGAAGTACCTGCAAACGTAAGCGAGAGCAATTAGTATGGAAGACGTGGATACGGCACCAGAACCTGAGATAAGCCAAATTACCCTTGGACCTTTTTCTTACTATAAATGCCACCCAATGATCTAACTTTGAATACAGCAGGGAGCATCTAAGAGACATAATCATACAGCACCAATCAGAGCAGATAACGCCAATATGCTTCCACGTGCAATGAGAAAAACATTCTTTACTGTCACCTCTCTTGGATAGGACTCTTACCACAAGAATGGCAGAGTAAATAGAATATAAATTAATAGAAAAGAAACAAAAGCCACTTGCTCAAGTGGAAGGAGCTGCAACTGTGCATAGAAGATACTTAGAAACAAATTATACACAACAATCTGGACAAGCTACAAAGAATGATCCAAAAATTTATCAGGTCTATTAAGGTGTGGAAAGGAGAAAAAATCAAGGTATCATGCCGGACTCGAACTCTGACTACCAAATATGTACTCAATGCATGTATCCTCCATATTATGGGAATTCTGACAGTATTCATGTCTCTCTTACAGGGGGAAGTGACAAGCACGTGAGGGCAGAATGAAGGGCAGAAGTACCATTGCACATAGGACTAAAGCTAACAGTGTCTCTCTCTCCCCATCTCGTGATACCATTTGCATCAAGTTCCAAATCGAAGCATCGCACAGAGGAATCAATCAAAATATTCTTAGCAACATACCTGTTATATCAATCTTATGTGATATTCCAGCAGCAGTCAAAGACTTTGAGATTAACTTGGCAACTTCTTCATATTGTTGATTCTGAACCAGTGGAAAAACAGTGCATTTGATGGGAGCCACTAGCGGGGGGAAGCGGAACACATTTAGCTGCTCATCTCCACCTTTACTTGGCCTTGTGTAGAATGAATGCTCATAAAGACAATATATTATCCGCCCAATTCCAAATGAGGGCTCAATCACTGAAGGTGTAAACACCCTTTGGTGCTCTTTCTTTTTTTCCTTGGAAATAGAGACCATGCTTTTCTTAATGGTGACATTCTTCCCAAGAGTACATACATGGAACTCTACCTCTCCCTTAGATTCCAGATCAGCCTTCATCTCCATAGCCACCTTTTCTTCCATTGCCTGGTATAAACAAAGGCGAAACAAACAATTCAGCATTACTTTCTTTCTATCAAATGTAGCTTATTGAATACTGGAGGAAAAAAGATTGAAAAATCAAATTTTTCATTAGCGTCTTTTTTTCTAGCTCCTGAAATTCTTGCAAGTTTTTTTTAATGGAGTCAAGTAAACATTTAGGCAATTTGAGTTTATTCAAGAATGGCAAATAAGTCGATACTCTAGTTAGATTGAGAGCTTCTCTAGGTTAAATTTCGGTTGACAACTGTGCACAACCATTATAAAGCCCTGGTTATAATTACCTAAATCCAAAACATAGCAGTTTTTTGTCAAATGAACTGTCATTCTACATCCATTCATAAGCCTAAAAAATTGAAAAACAAAAAAAGCAAAATAGCCTCAGCAGACTCAACTCACTAGTACTGTGGCACTATCTAACATTACCGTGAGGCTAGGTCAGGCATGTTAACAGTGAGTTGAGACTGCTGAGGCTATTTTCGACCTCAATTGCTGTTCAAGAGGGGTTTTGGGGTCAAGAATTTATGAACAACTTTGGCGGTTAAAATTGAAGAGGACAATCAATAACAGATTTGCAAGTGGCAGTTAAATATCAAATCAGCACATGCATAATCCCCCGAATCCATCCCTAGTTTATAGAGGACATATAAGGAGATCAAAGGAGTCTCTCTCATCATCCTGCAAAGGATTCTGAAGATTCAAGGAACCAACAGTACACACAGTATTATGTCGTAAGGTTCGCCTAAGTTTTTCAGTATCACAGTTGAATCTTAGCCAATTTAATAATGGCAAAAAAACAACCTCCAATTCTGGTACATAAGGAAACAGTTGTGGGTAAAAGAACCAATCTTGATGAAAGAAAATAAATCGGCTGTTGCTAGAGAATGGTGGTTAAAGATCAAAATAAGAAGAAATCGGACTACATACGGGGAAAATGGAAAGGTGAGATATCACCATCCAAATTTAAGATGTAACCAACAATATGTTTGCAATTAATTTCACCTACCAAAAGGAAAAAGAAATTTGCTATTTGATGTCATTGATAATTTGATATCAAAGAGCCTGCTCAATGAAATTATAATACTACACATCTTAGCTTTGAGAAACAGATTTTTGATACTTGCAAGTACAGATTCTAGGAAGGACACCATTATTAAACTTTTTCTCTATTTCCAGCGGTACTTATGATTTCTGCAATTATTTACTACCACTTTTTCTTGATAAATATGAAAAACCAATCTTATATTCGAAAGCAATGACACTTCTTCTTGACCGCTAGCCATTATTCATCAACCAACTACCGCCAGTACATTTTACAGCTCTAAAGCAGAGCTCCAAAATCAAAACTTATCTGCCATTCTTTATGCTGCATATATTTACCTATCAGCGTCCTTTCCAGCTTCAGCTTCGAATAACCAGCCGTAGGTCCCTTTTCAAGATCTACTAGGTATATCTCTATTTTGTTCAAAAAAGAGGTAGACCCCATGCTTGTTCTGCTCAAGTAAATCTAGATTAGCTGAGAAGAGAGACTGTGGCATCTTATTCTATTTTTAGAATGATTTTCTGTTAAACCAATCAATAATGAGTTTCATTACATCAGAAACCTAATAAATATTACCTAAACATCTTACAAAATCAGCATACTTAAGAATTTCCAGTTCTAGCAGTGAATCCTAATAGATATTTATTTTGATATATCAATTGCAAATCAAAATGGATATCTCTAAATTTGCTTATGATAGCATAACCTCATATCACATTAAAATCATTCATTAAATTCACAGACCCCTTTCCTTCCCTATGGCTAGATGGGTTTCCTTCCCTATGGCTAGATGGGTTAGTAACTAAGAACGGTCAGGTTGCTTGAGACCTTACACAACTGATGAAGAAGCCAACTGTAAATCTTCCCAGCATTAACTTCTATAGAAAAAGATATTTCCTTTTGCATTTTCCCTTCTTTTTCCTAAACTCTCTTCAGATGGAACAAGGAAAAAAATTAAGCAGAAATCAATTGAATATCGAATTTCCAATAAAATCACTAGCATTCGAAAACTAGCAGAAATTATAACAAGAACATAGTGTTGCAATTAGCACTGATTGCAAATTTCATTTTAAACAAACAAATGTAGGTTTGTGAAACACTTCATTGCGGTAAACGTGACAGATGTTAGAATTCAATTGAAATAGCGTGAGGGAGTGAATGCACAAGCTACCTCCAAGGATTCAGTCACCATCTTTTGGTTGCCCTTAAATGCAAGTCCGAGCTCCTTCTTCATAGGTGTTATTACCAATTTCTGATGTTATACAAACAATTGAAGTCAGATGGTTGCCGACATGCATACAAACCATATTCATGAATGCAACTTAGCTAAACTAACAGCAACCTCTACTTCTCTTGGTTCTGAGAATTTCTCCTGAGCCACAAGAGCTACAGAACTTTTTTCCTGTCATAAAAAAATGTCCAACATGTTATCAATGCGTGCAATACAATATCCAGATCACCAAGGAGGAGAATATTTTAAGAAGTCAAAAATATATTGTGACACTTCAAATTCTTTTTGTTGAAAAGGTAACTGCCTGGAGAGTCGTTTTTAAGTTTTTAAGTGGAATTCCCAACATGCTATGGTACCCCGGAGTGGGTAGGAGCGGGCGACATTATAATATTTTTGAAAAGGTCTACCTTGACAATCACATCACTAAATGCTTATTATTTGAGATGGATAATACAGATGGAATACATCAGTTTCTGTCAGTAATGACTGAAGCATATTTAAGGAGAAACACTTGGAGTGAAAAAGTTAGTAGTTATACAAATATGAATAAGAATAAAACACGGAGAGAGTTGAGAATCTACAGACACTGGGCCAGAAGGAATCTAAACTGCACAGGTTCTTCAACCCATCTGCACCATCCTATCTAAGGCAAGAACTGATTTCTCCAAGGCATTTGTATGTTTAACTTATGAAGGCGTTCAGTCAAGTTTTCAAGGCACCAGTTACTTGCTATCCGAAATGACCACATGAGACGATGCAAAAACATTACCAATACTTCATTGCCCCCGTATCCTCATCGACATGCTGGATAATGTTATTAGACATGTTAAACATGTTAAGTTTAAGAAGCAATAGTCCAAGATGAAAATTGCTTGGTAGATTTCGTCGACTCACTACAGAGATAGGAATTGTACAGAAGGAATATATAGGAGGGCTCTGACTATGTAAATGAAATAGCACCATCTTAGTGCTAGATTTTTTCTATCAATATATCCATGACTTACCTGTTCAAAAAAAAAAAGGATTAAGAAGCAAAAAGCATGCCTCCTTCACTTAAGATGAATCTTGTAAAGTAAATACTTTATAAAAGATCTAGGTGGCGTTTGTTAGTGGAACCTTTTCAGATATCTTGCAAAACTTTCCCAAAAACATGTTTGTTTAAGTTTTTCAAAAAGCCCAAGCAAAATGCTTTTTCATAAAACTGATTGTTGAAGAAGTGGTTTGAGTGTGTTTTCCCAACAAAATTCTTTGTTCATTCATAAAGCAGGAACAGATTTTCGGATAAACTACAGCTATCCAAACACTTTGTTATGTAAGCTAAAACGCAAAGTTAAACTTTTACCGAATGGGCACGCAAATCATATGCAGATCTATCAGCAATCCCAACACATTCAATCCAACCGTAAGAACTCTCAATTTCAGCATCCCAACAATCTGCAGCATAGTGAGCCATCTCATTTGCAAGATGCTGACGGAAACGCAGACGCTCTTTGTCTATTCCAAGTCGTGTTAGGAAAAGATAAACTCTCCCAATGAAGTATCCGAGTGTTTCATTATTGACAATTCCCTGCCCAAAGTTGGTTTAAATAGTGAAGTTATGGCTTGCATAAACAAGCACAAACAAGACGAACAAGCATGAAGACACAAAGGAAACTCACACTAGAAACAGCTTCACCAAGCTGAAGTCTCTTTGCACATTGCCCAGACACTTGTTCATCCCTAGGAAACATTAGAAACTCCAGTTTTGCAACATCCAAAAATTTTGGATGAGATTTGTCCTGGGGATCAACGAAATGTTCAATTTCTGCCAGAGTGAACTCACGCACTCTGAGAAGACCTTGTCGAGGAGATATCTGCACAGACAAATTCTACAACGATTAATTCCTTTTGCAACATGATCAGCACATCTGATGGGGAAAAGAGTTTCTTAATTAGCTTAATCAGGTTCCATGGTTTACCAACACGCATAGCATAACTATATCCAGAATAATAAACATAAAGGAAGTGCAGAAAGACATTTTCATTTCTCAAATCAAAAGAATGGCTCATGACCTCATTTCTAAAAGCCTGACCAATTTGAGCAGCAGCAAAGGGAAGCTTATTTCCGTTATAATAGTAAAGATCTTTGAAATTTACAAATATGCCTTGTGCTGTTTCAGGACGCATATACCTGCATCATGAGAAAACAGTAGCACTTAAGTGAGACGAGCTTTAAAGAACCACAATCATATAATGACCAGCATAGGTAGTTCCGAGAGACTTCCTAAGAGATGACAGACTCTCAAGTTCAAATGGAACTGTGTTAAGTAGGGGGGAGAAAAAGGAAAGATTACTCAGCATAAAAGGTGAATTATTTTGAACAAGAGCTCCACCATAATAAACGAATTGACACCAAACATGTCACTAAAGCAATAGATTTTTTGGGGGATAAGTTCACTGTAACTAATAGATTTAAAAACATGATTCTCACCCTGGGCTAACGCCAGATGGACCAATGGATGTCTGAAACATTAGATTGAATGGATAAGGATCAGAAAGTGGATTCTTTGTATCCGGTGCAGTTATACCATACTCCTTTATCTTGGCACCAAGCTGCTCAGCAGAGAGATCATCCAAGACAGCAAGGATGTGCTTCAACTCTGCAGCCTTTTCCGAAGACAAGCTGAAGTCTTTCTCAAGTTTTTCTTTACAATAATCCTTGAGCAAATGATCAGCTCGATAACATGTTCCTGTCTTCTCGTCCTTAACCATAAGATCAGTGAACTTTTCAACGTGACCTGATGCCTTAAGGACAACCTCAGGGGTCACACATGGACAGTCAACTTCCAACATGTTCTCCTCCAAAACAAAATGCTGGAAAGTGACAAGAAAATAAAAGTCTAAAAAACATGAGAAGGTGAATATAAAGCCTAGCAGATCCAAAACTTGAGTAGGGTCTTTTAACCAGTTTCATGTAGATGCAACTGCTTCCTGTCTTTTGGTCATATATGTCACATTTCTAACCCCTTTCAATTTGTTTTTCAAAATATCCCAAAAACACGTTCTTCCTTTTATAGTGTGTTACGTCACCTGATCCGATTATTCTGAGATTCTTGATTAACTTTTACAGAATGAGCCACTTTGAATTTGTTTGACTCAACTGGTCTTTAAACCTAGTGATTCTAAGTAAGGAAGTTCGTTTGGTAGGAAGGTGTGAGGCACACTTATATCCCTCATGGAACTATGGTTACCTATCTTATTCAAGGTTCTTTTATCAAGTGGTCACCTTTGTTTAAGTTAATTTTCTAAATATTGGTTAACGCACACACACACACACTATAAATGAAGAAATAACTTAGGTTATTTAAGGATTTAAGTTATATACACTGAGTATAAAAATTCCAGTGAGAAGATTAGTTAACATTTATACTAGATTACCAATTAACGATTAACGTTAAAAATTACCAGTAATTACCTAATTCGTGACCTGATTGTGTCAATATTACTCTGTGAGTGCATTGAACTTAAACTCTTTCAACATATATGAATTGTTCGTGAGAATCAAAATGCAAACCCGCCAGCTCTTACTGCGTGGAATTTAAGCATTCAACTTGGAATATATTTAATCAGATACTGAAACACTAGCACGGAGTGTGTGAAGCTAACCTGACGCCAGAAGGCGAGTACATTGGACTTGACAGAACAGCCAGGGGGGCCGTAATCATAAAGGCCAGCGACGCCACGATATATTTTGAAAGACGGAATATAAAACAGACGGCGCTCGAGAGTGTTAACGACGTTCTGACGGAACGCATCTCTGCTGGCGGACGACGAACCGCCGGCAGCGGCTATAAGCCGGCTCTCGATGGATGATTTCTCGAGCTTCAACGCGTTTAAAGCTTGAACGGCAGCTTCGATTTCCGGCTTGGAAGCACCGGACGACTTTAACTGGCGGACGGCGTTGCCTTGGAACTCGATGCTCGATTGCTTCTGAGCAAGAGCTTGGCGGAGTGAGTCTTCGGCGGTGGCGGCCATTGTTACAGGAGCTCCGGTGTAAGGTTTTAGAAATAAACGAGTGCGGAGAAGATGAGTGGAGATTACGCGGTGGCGAAGAGAAAGCGCGCAGGTAGTGAGAGCACGAACGATACGCATGCGGCACTGCCACTGTGCTTCTTTTAGGGTTTTGTGCTGGCGTATACATTAAACGCAAAATGCAAATACGTTTACAAAAAGTAAAAAATAAAGACATTAATTGCACAAAAAAGTGAGGAAAAACCTCAAAATAATAGTCAAAATATATATTATTTTATTTTATTCGTATATATAAAAAAAAATTATATATTTTATGATTATCGGATTTGAATTACTTGCGGGCTAAAAGTGATCTTCGACCAAAATTATAATTATTTGTATGTGTTAGAGCTAATAGATCATATGAGAGCGTCTTGCATTTGTTTATTAGGAGTAATTTTTTTTTAATTGAAGTGCACAAGAGTATTTCATTAGGTTTTAACATCAAATTCTAAAGTATTAGTTAGTTTTATGATCTTGGATTCAAATGCTTACCTTTGCAAACAATAAAAAATATGTATGTTTAAAGGGATATATTAAAGATCAAAATAGTTCTACCCAAAAGCTAAGGACCACTTGCAATTTTTATCATATCCACCAAATTTCTAGGTGAAAAATGATCCATTGTCTTCCTCTAAAAATACTAACATTTCCTGCCACTTCCCTTTTTTACCGAACCCATATATTAGACCAAATTCCTTTTTCTTCCTCATGTTTCCAGGTCATATATTTATCGTCTCCTTTTCCTTTAAGGCGTCTTAAATATGAAAATACACTGTGTGTTTTGTATTTTTTTTATATTAATTGTTACGTCCTATTCTTTTCTGATTTGTCTCTTTTTATATATTTACATTTTAAATCTCTCAAATATCAACAAAAATTAAATTTTGGCCCTTATGTTATCTGACTAGACAAATTTAACATTTAATTATTTGAAATGTGCACTTCTAATTTATTGGCTTGTGTTTTATATCCCATTACATCATTTGACTGTCTATATGTTATGTTTAGTGTCGCGCCCCAACTCTGGGAGCGTGGCTGGCACCTCTTCTTGTTCTATTTATCAAAAGCATCCAGTGTCGTACTGCCCGAGCGAATCACTCTCTAACTCATGATCGCTCGACCAAAACTAGAACATGCATAGGTCGAGTTGGCTAAACTCATTCTTTTTGTAACCATCATGGACCAACATGGCCACAACTCGTAATGCATAACTGTAAGTGGGCAAACGCCATATCACTGATCCATCGTACTTAAAACATGAATACACACGGGCCGTCAAGGCCTCTGACATACTGTACAAAATGAACATGTGTCTACAAAGCCTCTAAGAGTATCTGATATCAAACGGGACAAGCCCCCGGCCTACCCATAAGTCTGTAGCAAAACTCTGAAACGATGACTTATAGACTCGGCTGCACTACGAATGAAGTGGAGTCTCCAATCCTTCGCTGAATGTTAGCATCATCTACTATGAGGGCTTGTCAAACTAATTACCTACATCTGCATGTATGATGCAGCGTCCACAACAAAAAGGGCGTCAATACGAATAATGTACCAAGTATGTAAGACAGAACTGAAACATAACAATAAGTCAACATTAATGAGAGAGATATAAGAATCAACCTGAACCTATGAAGTGACACCGTATATGCATACTAATTATACTTATATATTTAATGCCTTTATATGGGACTATTATCCATATCGTAAACATGACTACCCAACTCATAAGTGGTAACTATACCTATTAATCGGGTCGGGCTGACCCGTTTACAACCCGGTTCAAACGAATAATTTTTGATACCGGAACCCGCTAAGCCCGTTAACCCGTTAACGGGTTTTTAACGGGCTACAGCCCGGTATCCGTTACAATTTCTTTTTTCTTTTTTTAATTTTTTTCTGGACCGTTGCCAATAGTCAAATTCAAATTTGACCGTTGGCCAATGACCCTTTTTTGCAGAAATGGCCATTTCGGCCTACCCCTTAAGAAAATAGCCCCCACACCCCTAATATTTGATAAATTATAATTTTAACCTTTTAAAAACTATAAATAGTCCCCCTTCTTCTTCATTTTTCCTCACAATTCACTCTCTTACTACTCTAATTCTCTCTTGATATTATTGATTATTGTTCTTAAATTCTTAATTACTTATTATTTCAAGTTTCATCAAATATTTACTTTAGCCATTACAAAATTATTATTATCAAATATCAAGTATTCAAGTGAAGTGTGGTATCAACTATCAAGTATCGATCTATCAATTGAAGTTTGATTTTTGATATCAAATTTAGTGTGGCATCCGGAATCCCGGTACACTCGTTCCATTATCTTCTTTGGTATACATTTATTTTATTATATAGAATTATTAATTTAATTTACATAATGGATATATTTAGAGCAGCCAAAAAGGCGTGCACTAGTAGAGGTGGCAGTAAGAAAACTTCCAAAAGATCAAGAGGTGGTGCTTGTTCTTCTAGTAGCTTTACACATATTTTTGAAATTTCACCTAAAAATTTAAATGTATATTATGAGCGACTTCAAGAAAATTATGGCATAGATGATGATTTAGATGATATTCCATCACCTGATAACCTTGAAACACCACCAGCTATACCTGGTAATGCTAGTCAAACTCAAAATATTATGGGTGGAAGTCGTGGTAATACTAATAGGCCTCTTCTCCCTATTAAGAAGAATCGAAGATTAAGAAGTAAGTGTTGGAATTTTTTTGACAAACTAGAAGAAGATAAAAATTATGTAAGATGTAGAATTTGTAAGGATATTTATAAACATGAGACCGGTAAGGGAGGGGGAACGGGTCAACTTCGTAGGCACATGGTAGACAACCACCCTCTTGATTGGGGAGTAGATGAGGAAGACGGGCAATAAAAACTTAACCCGGGTACTGGAGGGTTAATGGGTAAATACGATATTAAGAAAGATCGGGAAGAATTAGCTAAAATAATTATTTTAGGTTGTTTACCTTTTAGTTTTGCTGCTTCACCATAACTTGTTACTTATATTCAAAGAATTTATAACCCTTTGTTTAAAGGTATTCTTATAAGTACTTGTAGAGCTGATATCTTTAGGCTTTTTGGACAATATCAGACATATATACGTTATTTGTTCGCCAGTCTTTCTTGTAGAATTTCTCTTAATTCTTGTCATGACAATTTCCCACCGACGGTACCGTGATAGTGCCTAACATTTCACTTGCCAAGCAAGCCAACGTTAGAGAATTATTAACCAATTCTTTATTTCCATTCAATAATTAACAATAATTAACTAAGACGAAATATAATAAGTGCGAAATATCATAAAACTG